TTTACTGGCAGTAATTGGATCTTGTGCATTTTTTTCAAGAAGCTTGATTTTTTTTCCTTTTGGCTCTCATAATATTAGATTCGCTAAAAAGGCAATGATAATCAACAGTTATGAGCAAACAGTTATTATTTTATCTATACATTCCTTTTTTCTTGCCCCTTCTTTCAGGGTTTCTTCAAAGATATGTTGACGGTTAATAATCCAAACATCAGTCCACAGAGAATTGAAGATTACGTCAATGGCGCTGTAAGTTTCAAGATCTAATAGTGTCTCGATGAAGTAGATTAAGGCTTTTTTGTGCATGTTCACACTATTTTACTATGCGTTCTTGCCGTAACGAAAACTTATCCGGTATAGTAGAACACCTATCCGATATCTGACTCTTGCACGTGCAGCGCAGCTTCGTTCCGTTACAGAAATCGCGCCGAAATCATCGTTTTTTATGTGTGATATGTGGTTTTATGTGTCCAGTATGGTTTTCGTGCCAGGCGCAAAAGCTATCCTTTATAGTGTGAAAAAAGCCTTAGACGCGGGAGACTTCTCTGTAAAGGTGAAGTTCTTGTCACATGTCTGAAACCACGAAGGGAGATCAATATGGGCGTGGAGTTAGGGTTTGTTTGACCGGTAGAAAACCTTGCTAAACCAGGCAACCAATTTGCGCAACCATGGGATCTGAGTGTACTCTTAATTTAAATTGAATAAAGTTGATCAAGTTGAGCAAGTTCTTCTTAGGATGCTGTGACAGCGATTAATTTTCTTGCTATGTCTTCCTACCCTAACCGGTACTGATTTTTATGGGCAAAAACATTATTAGCTTTCCGTCCTGAAAACCCTCAACGGTACCAAAATTTGCAATTTACATCCCTAAATGAGTCGACAAGCATCCCCATCTCCTGTCACTGAAAAGTCCTCCCGAGGGGCAGATGGGTGGGGGCACTCAGACAAGTGCTTTACGTAACTTGCCAATTATTTCAAACTGATATGTCTCGCATCCCATCATATGGCCCCCTGGTGAACAACTAGAGATGTCTAGGAAAACTATACCCTCTTGCGTGTTCGGATGTAAATGAAATGAGCTTAAAGCCATACTGTAATTCCAGTGAGAATTTTAATTCTAAGTAGGGATAAGTAGGGCGCAAGGAGAAATATCGAGGGCACGCGCACGCCCACGAGGGGAGACGGGGAGAGGGAGACGTCCTCTTCCCTTTAACTCTTCTCTTCGCGTGTTCCCCTCGCGCATGCGCTGTATTATAAAACTTGGCCAAAAAGCTTGTCGTCGTCTGCCATGCGGGCTTGTAACGGATACACTTTGGAGGCTGTCGCTTACTACTTTCAATACCTGACATCGATTGATATGTCTGCAAATCACGCTAGGACCTCAATAAAAGGAAAGGAATCACTTCCTAAGAACTCAAAGCCAAATGATTTTACGTCACGTTTTAAAATGGCCTCAGGCGTTGTAAACTTCTGGGTCTCCCGCAACAAGACGCTGTAAGTCTTGTCATTCAGAAGGTCAAGTAATGATTAACGTCATTATCGCGGGAACAAGTGCATCTACACACTGAAGTATGATGATAAAGAGATTTAGCCAAATCTAAAAGCGAAGCTCTCGTGAGATCTTTTGAAATTTTTTTTTTGAGGTTATTCAAATTTCGTCATAAGCAAGAAGCAAACTGAACTCCTCCTGCAAATTGGACTGAGCCTGCGACCCTGATTTTGGCTTTCACTGGCTTTATATGTAGAAGGAATATAAACTGGATATAATGGGGGCCAGTTAGTTGAAAATCCACTGACAAATGAAATGTAATTTTCCTTGTTTGTAGATCGAATCGTTTGACAAGAATGATGATGGGGAAATAGAGCTATCTGAAATGGCTAAGTATGTTCAGTTAATCTTATATTGGTCATTGGAGAAGTTTGTACATTGTCAAAACTAAAAACAAAGAAACCAGCCCAACACGAAACTCCCTCTTAACGGAAGGTTTTTTCCGGCAGACATATCAATAAAACGGCAGAGTTCATGGTCCCGCCATGTCAAGCGCTCTCTTGTCATTCCTTTCAATTTTTTACCCCCTACAAGACAGACATTTCCTTAAGACGCTGCCTCTCTCCAAGCAGAGTTATCAGTATAACACGCCTAATTCATTCGTTTAAACATTTTTCATTTGTACTTCTCCTTTTTCATTTTCTCATGATCTCGTTATTGTTATTGGATGTAGGTCTCAGCTGTTTTTTATGTTTAGTTCAAGTAATTACTGATCGTGCAAGGGCGGTTGAAGGGAAGTTCTTCTTGTCTTTCCACCTCCCGCCCCACCCCACCCCCCTTGTCCATTCATTATTGCCCCAGATACCTCAGATTTGCCTCCTACACAAACTCTTTACTCCTGAAGATTCAATCTTCCCCCCTTCCCGCAAAATCAAAAGTATAGATTGCCCCTGTTGCGTTTGGTTTCATTGGGTGTATTCTGAATGATTTATGAGGTTTTGATTAAAGATTCATACACACTGAGATAATTAATGATCGACAACGTATGTGCTTATTTTCTTCTAAGCTACATTTTCTTTACTCTCATCTATAGACTATTGCCTGTTGAAGAAAATTTCCTCTCAAAATTCCAGGTAAGATGATCAGCTGCCTTTCTAAAGTACACCATTGTCCGCTAACAAGTTTCCTGTACTGACATTATTTAAAAATCTTCTTTGCCTAGATCCGAAAAAATTTGACACGACAAGAATTTGAGAAAATTTGGTACCACTACGACCAGGTAAGTAATTAGTACCGTTTCGTGGCCTTGAAGATAATGAAGTGTAGTTTGTTATACACAAACGATAGTTGGGTTGATCACACGTGTTAGTGCTGAATACTAACTATGGAAACAAGAATCAGCACTCGGGTGAGTTTGGTCTTTCTCAGTATGCTGTCGAAATTTTTCAAGACATCTGAATCAATCACACACCGAATCGCAGGCATCAGCTCTATGTTGTTTCTGCCTCGTCAGCCTCGACTGCTTCTATAATCTACGCTTGGCTGACTCTTTGGCAATTCGTTTTTATATTTTCATTCATGTCGTTTTTAGGAACCATTAAATTAGTCAGTTTTAATTTTTTGCCTTTTACCTATACAGGATCACAATGGAATAATTGGCGGCGCGGAGCTCGATGCACTCATTCGAGACTTGTACATCAAGAATAACAGTGTATGTATCCAAATGCCTAGACTGTATTCCTGGGAAAGCAGTTTTCTGGTCCTCGGTTATTTCCATAAGATTAAGAAAAATGGATACTGATACTTTTGGTTAAATTTGTCTCTGAAACCAAATACTACAAATTCGGGTAATGCCGGTGTTTGAGGTTGACGGATCAAAAATGTATAAACTTTTTGGCTAACCTAAAAAGAAACAAATAATAAACAAAACGAAAAACAAAAACAAACTAATTAATATTAAAAAAACAACAACAAGAAGAAAATTTAGAGACTTTGAAAAATAAAATTCATGCCTTTCCCTCGTTCTGACGCAACGTAATAGTAAAGAAAAATTGGGGAAACACAGCAGAGTTTGCCTTGTCGCTGTAAAGTAGCCTGCGACCGCAGACGTCGTTTCTCTCCCTCCGGAAAAGAGGCAGAGAAGCGACGACCGGAAATACGTCTTCCGTAGCAGGCTACTGTAGAGCTTCTCTCTTTCAATGCATTTTGCTGCTTACTCAGACCACGTGACCCGAAAAGCATTTCCTGTCGTTTGTACATGGAAGCCCTACCTTACGATAACCCCGTTCACATGATTTCCCCGATATTACAACCGTTCTTTTTTCCCTTTTTTTATGGTCATTGTGTGGTAACATCGAGGGGTTGTCTTTTTATTTGTCAGGAGCCACCGGACATGAAAACCATCAGCGACCAGCGCGACATGATCATGAAATTTGCCGACCGCGACGGAGATGACGGGATACAGAAGGAAGAACTGGGATTGTTTTTCTCTGTGGCACAGTCACGGAGAGTGCAAGAGATCAAGGTGGACGCAGAAAGTAGAGAAGCTGAGAGACGGGCAGAGAAAGAAGCTGAGAAAAAAGAAGATCAAAAGAAAGCAGATGACGGCAGCTCTACAAGTGGAAACGCGGGCTGTTGTTGGCTATTCTGATAATGTCAAAAAATAGGACTACATTTTTGTTTATCATCCTTAGTACCCAGATTTCTCGTGTTCCTGTCCAGCAGATGGTCGCTATGGAGATCAGCCCGTAATTAAAGCACTTCTTATGACTGAGCTGCTGTCTGCTGAGCAGGGGAAGTGTGGGCTTTGGGTGCCAATTTAACAATTGACCTAAAAATGACGACCTCGCATTCTGCTAGTGTATTGTCTCCTTGCAGCGCTTTTAAATGAATCTTGAAAATGCAAGCAATTCACCGATCAGAATGACATGTCATTTGTATCAGGGAAAACGCTGCCGGCGGCTTCTATGCATGCTATTTCAAATTGCCGTAAAGTTTTCCGGGCTGAAGAGACAAGCACATACAAATATTAAGAAAAAGTAATAATAAGATAAACAGACAACTGACAAGTACTAAATAAATAACACGATTATATTAGAATAAATTATCTGTTCTTTATTAAAATATCACGGTTTATGGTCTCGCTCGTTTATAACGGGGTACTAACTACAGAAGTATTTTACCAACTGAAATAAGGAACGAACTGAATTCATGCAAGGCAGATTTCTTCCTGGCCTGAAAGTCACTAAATTAAAGTGCTTACCAACACAGAAAAATGAACAAGTAAGGTGTACTGACAAAAGTCTGTTGTTCAAAAATCGATTTATTTTGATCAGGAATTTCCATCTGGAGGTACAATGTAAACTTTTTCATTCGTAAACGCCTTTTCTTTGTCGTGACTCTTCCACTTATAACGTATCCTCGGCCGTTGACGCCGTGCTTGAATATGCAAGCGATTGGTGTAAAACAATTGTGAAGTTCCTGCCTTCAGTAAAAATCATTTTCGTCCTTTGAGTCATCTTCTCTTGTACCTAGAGAAATGAAAGGAGACCGAGCTGTAGCGCTTCTCTCATTACAGACGTTGATGAGATATGGTTTTACACAAAGCAGCGGCGAGAGGTGTGCAAAAGCTGCTACAGTGGAACCTCGATATAACGAAGAGCCAAGGGACTGACAACATTTTGTTCGCTATAACAAGGTTTCGTTATATCGAGGTTCTTTTTCATATATTTAACTATAGACCTTTCCCGCGTTGCTGTAAACAAAGGCACCAACTCGAGGCTCGTTGGACAAAATACAGTGAATTGTATGAAATTGTCCACCCGAGCCTCGTCCTCATTTCTTTTTGTTTGCTCGCTTGAGCGTAATGCGGGAAAGGTCTATTCCTGGGGTAAAACAAAAGAAAAAAAAGAAGAAAAAAAAAGACATTCGTTATAGCGAGGACATACAAAACTTACCTTTTTTTCGACTTAAATCTACTTGAATTTTTCTTTAATTTCTTTGAATCGTCGGCTCTGGAGCTGCAGATCAAAATGAATTCTTTTAATGCAATCTTAGTTACAGCCCACGACTCCCAGAAGTTTGGCTTTGCCTTTTTGACAAATTGCAACACTGAACCCTATTACGCCGAATCGCAACAAATGGTCCAAACTTGTTTGAAAAGTTCACAAAAGACTTGCTTTTACATCTGGAGCAAGTGTAACGCTTTTTATAGCAGGCCCACAAAGTAACTTTTAGTTTCTGGATCAAAAAATTAACTTCGCTACTTCACCCATGACTATTTATTTCTTCTTTTTCTTGTATCTCTACAACTTTAATACAAACACTTCTGTAATACAAACAGTTCTCTTGGTCCTAAAGATAACAAAATTCATAAATCTCTACCTCCATAATAAAGACAACTCTATATTACAGACAGTTCTGTTGGTCCCAAAGATACCACACTTCATAAAATCCCTACCTCCATAATACAAACACCTCTCTAATACGACCACTGAGTTATCTTTGTTCAAGAGATACCAAACTTCATACAATCCCTAATTCGTTAATACGGACGCATCACTATTACGGACAGTTCTTTTGGTCCCAAAAATACCACACTTCATACATGTACAATCCCTACTTCTTTAATACGGACACTTCTCTACTGCGGGACAGTTCTTTTGATCCACAGTATAATCCCTATCTCCATAATACATGATATATATTAGTCCAAAAGAAGCCCATGCTTCGCACAATCCTTCCCTCTATATAATACAGACACTTGGCTCTATTCCCATGATATTCCTTATCACAAATGTTTCACAGTATAAGTAACGTGGGTTATTTTACCTACAGCACCATCGTAAACAACTAACCTCTGTCTAAAAGATTTTAACGCCTTTTTACTCGTGTCGGTCAGTTCCTTGTCGAAGGCCTTCAAGCGTGAACCGGCAGCACCATCAACACCTTTCGTTTTTCCTGCGATGAAAAATCAAATTCTCAATCTCAACAAGAACAGTACTTGAACAGTGACGTGTCGTACATGAAAAAAATAAGTGGTAAGCTGCACACTAATCCTGGCTTCCCAAGTCAGTTCAAATTGCTGCCAGAAACGTTCGTACCTGCAGATAAAATCATGTGGTCTATAGAAAAGTAGAAACTTACAGGAAAAAAAAAAGGTCGATTTCGTCTAATCAAGGCGAAATGTTATATTCAGTGGCATTTTCGCATGATGCTATTTGTTTGTTTGTAAAAACGGTTTGGTTCCAAAAAATGTAAAGTGAAATGTTTTATAAAATAAATTTTGACTTTCGCTTTCTGAACTTAATGTGTAAAATGAATTGTACTTTTTATTTATTTTTATTCTTAATTATCTTCTGTTTTTTTTTTCACGCCATCTTACAATAACAAAGCACAATGACACCTTTTCTGTCCAAGTCGGGTCTATCTGGCGGGAAGGCATGTAATCGCTTCTTCTTCTTTGATCTTTTGACTTCTCTTGCAATAAATTCCATCTCCTTTCTCGCTTTTTTATCCTCTTCCTAATAAAAAATATATATATATATTTCGTAAGGAAAGGTAGTTAGTAGAATTGAGAGAATAATTTATTTAAATTATAATGAAGAGGCCAGAGCTTTAAAAATTGAGGTATATGTGCGTATTAGAGTGGGCCTGTATTGTGTCGATGTCACGGTCCTAGGGCTTTTTTGGGGGAAGAAATTCTCGTCTCGGCCACATAGTGCAATAGACTAATTTCGATATATTAAAATTCAGACTTAGCACCGACACTTGGGGGAATAAAACAAAAGAAATCATTTAAAGGATCAGCAATGAATAATACATTTCTTTTGTTTTATTACCCCAAGCCTCGGAGCCAAGTGTGGATTTTAATATAACGAAATTGGTGGCCAGTTTCGAATTATAAAATTCATACCAAAAACGTCTCAGAGGGATTAACAATTCATATCTTTTGTTTTATTCCCCTGGGCCTTGGAAACTGAGCCAAGAATTTTCAACATTCGAAACTGGAACAACAACTCCCACCCGGTCTCACTCAGTGGCGGATCCAGGGGAGGGCTCCAGAGGGCCCGGGCCCCCTCCCCCTTTATTTTTGGACCAAACTGAGCCACGGATGGCCGAAAAAAAAAAAATTAAAACCCCCCCCCCTCCCTTCCCCCCGGGCCGGGATGACCCCCCCCCCCCCCCCCCACCCCCCCCCCCCCCCACCACGGCCCGCCCCCGTACCGCCGTCCTTGCCCGCAACTATCGGGTCTTTGAGCACGCGATCCAGTGCTGGACGTGGCTGGTGCGTACGCCCCCCGCCGCCCCCCCAGGGGTGTACCCAGGGGGAGGTGCCAGCGGGCCGGCCCCCCCCCCCCCTTTTTTTTTGGACACAACTGGCCCCCGGATGGCCGAAAAAAAAAAAATTAAGCCCGCCCCTCCTTCCTTATCTCAGGGTCTGGGTGACCCCCCCCCCCCCGCCCCCCGCCCCCTTACTTGTCTGAAGGTCTGGATCCGCCACTGCCACTGCATACAGGAAAGGTAAGATGGGTAAATTCAGGCCCTCTTAGGGGGGGTTACGTACGTCCCTAGTCTGAATTTTAAAACCTGTCGTTTCGCGTATTGAAGAGGAAACTATGTCGCTGTTGGTGTATGTTTCACTATTATATTTGCGCTTTTGTTGCTGTCACAGTTTCAACCCATCTTTGTGTCGTTTGTCGCCATTTCATCTTGTCTTGTTTACGTCACTGTTTCAAGGCAATGTCGCTTGTCAGAATTATACCCTAACAGGGCCTCTAATTGGGGATTGCTGAAGCGTCCGCGAATGTGATTCACAATCCCAGGATGATTTGTACACATTGAAAACTAGACCTTCTAAAAAATAATGATGACTGCATCTGTGAGCAAATTTGCTCCTCAGTCTGCTCTAAATAGTTTAGAAATACTTCACTAGCCCGCCCCACGCCGTCGGCGCTTATTCCTAAAGCAATCAACCAAGCTAAGCTTTTACGACGGTCCTAGGGGAAGTCATTACGCTGGGTGCATGGATAAAAATAACACGCCTGTGCGGAGAAAAAAAAATCACAAACAAACGAAGAGGCAAACAAACAAAACAAAACGAAAGCAATAACAATATAACAAAGCAAAATAAATTAAGCAGCTTACATTTTCCTTTTCATTGCCGAAGTTCTTTCCTTTCTTCTTTTCGTTCTTTGATTTTTTGCTGGACGGTCCGTTCGTAGTTTTCTCTGTCAAAACAACGACAAAAATGAACGTGAATATCAACAGATTCAAGCAAAGTCGAAACCATACACGTCGACAGAAGTCTGGACCTCACCTGATTTCCTTTTAAGATCCGCTTTGTTCTGAAACCATGTTCTTGCAGGCCTGGAGAAGATCTCTTCTTCGTGTTCAAGAAGGTTTCGCGCCTTATTCATTTCCATCTCCGAAACTCTTAGCTGATACAAAATGAAATAAAATAAAGTGAATTAATAGCATCGACAGTCCCACTTAAAATTCATTACTGGCCAAGAGAGAACGAATTCCCCACGTGGAATTTGTGGCATTGCGCACACCAGGGCCCATTTGTTTGAAAGGTGGATAACGCAATTGGTTTTCCTACTACTTATACGCTGGATTGCGATTTATCCGGTGGATAGCGCTATCCAGCGTTCGAACAAGCGGGACCAGCTGAGTAAACCTACAGGTGTATATCAAAATTTGCTGGTTTCCTCAATGGTCGCTAAGTTGCTTACACGCGTGTTTATTTACCTCTTTTTCTTCGCTTTCCTGTTTTAAAATTTCTTTCAAGTCTTTGTCAAGTCCTTGAATCTTATTCCTGTATTTGCCGATAACCTCTGAAAAAAGAAATAAGAACATAACAACTCTGCATTTTGTAGGTACAAACTATTTCGGCATTATTCTTGGCAACCACGTTAAATAAAGTATCGTATCGTAACCAAGTGGCTTGCCATTCGCCATTTGCACACCTCCCATAATACACCTTGTCTGCCCCCCAAAAACTTTGCATAATCTTTGTTTATTATTTCTCCTGGGTATTACAGTCGTTCCAAGAAAAAGCAATTTTTTGGGGGGGGAGGGGGAGATGTGAAATGGTGAATAGAGAAATTCCGTGTTGCAACTGACGAGCGGGGACTGATTTCGGGTTCAAACCAGAGAAAAAAATTATCACGCAGCCGCTGCCGTTCTCAAGTCAGGGACGGCAAAGAAATGTCCGAAAAAGCGTTGTTTTGCTCACTAAACCTACAGTATTGCGTTCTAGACGTTCCCGTCCGGTCGCCTTCTTAGTTTCGTATTTTAATATTTTTAAAGGACCCTATTAGCGAGTATTCGAAGGCTACGTGAAACTATTGAGCTTAATCGAGAGACTCGACAACCAAAAGTCTCTTTCAAGTATACACGTTATGAAGCTTGTACAAAACAGAAATGACTCCCACCTGAAGGAACTATTCTGCTCTTCACTGGTGTTTTTGCTAATTTCACAATCTCTTTAAGAAGTCCCCTTTCCTTCTCTCCCACCAAGGAGACAGACCTATAAACAGCCAAAGAAAAATTAACTGAAGCTACGTGTAAACGGACGCGACAACTCGGCCAACGATATTGGTAGTTATTGCGTCCGTTTGCTCGTAGCTACACTGTAAACGTTTCACCGTTTTCAAACTCCCAACAAAACAACAACAACATGCAACAGGGTGTGCAAACCGACGCAATATGTAGCATCTAACAATGTTGGGAGTCGCTGGCCAACAATGTTGAGTCCACTTGCACGGGGCTTAAAGGTAAGTAATACGTGCTAATTCTCGTCCTAAGAGGCTCCAACAGACAAAATTGTCTTTTAAAGAGTAAAATGTGGGCACAGGACACTTAACATGTTTAATCTGAGAAAACAGCCGACAATTAGCGACGCCACCACTGGTTTCCCCGCGACATGACGTCTGAGCAACGACTGAAGAAATTCCATTCTGATGACCAGTAATTACCCAGATCTGGCAAGCGCTTCTGATTGGTCGTGTCGCGAGAAATACTTGCTTCAACCAATCAGAACTGTGTTTCAATTTCATCATCATCATCATTGTCGTCGTCATCGTTATCATTATTATTATTATCAACTTGAAGCTCAAACATACCTTCCACTGCGCCCCGCACGAGCTGTCCTTCCTACTCTGTGAATATACTGCTTCATTGTCGGTGGAAGATTGGCATTAATAACCTATCAACACAAAAAAAATCTTTTTCATTAGAAGAAGGCCGCGCGACAATACTTGGGTGTGCGAACATCTTAAAATTTGCAACACTGTTCTTGCGTCTACGAAATTCTTGGTCTCCATAGCCTCCAGGGCATAGGTTCGCCGCGCGTTCTTCCTACGGAAAGTGAAGAAGCCCTGAGAAGGCAGGATATCAACTACGATCTAAAAGGGAGAACTGGAGAAGGCAGGGGTCTCCGTGTCTGCAGGCTATGTGAAAAGGCACGAGCCTCTAACATGGGTTTCACTTTCACATTTGACCACAAACCTCTGGTTAACACTCGGGAAAGCTACATGAGTACATAGGATTGAGATTCAAGGTTTACAGTTACACTGTACGTACATGCAAAACCTGTATGGTTGTGGTGGTTGATACAACAATTCATAAGCGTTTACATGCGGTTTCGGGGTAAAGAACGAAGAACGATTTTTCGCGCGCCCAAAACCGAAACGCTTGCTACGCAGGCTGTACAGCAAGAACTGTTTACAATTGCAGTTTTGTCGCAGCAAAAACCAGAGAAGGGCACGGTACTCACTGTTTTCACACCAAGAATGTCCAGACCTCGAGAAGCTAAGTCAGTAGCTACAAGAATATCCACTTCGCCTTCCTTGAATTTCCTGAGAGCCTCCAATCTCTGAAACATATGACATCACAAAGAGAGTGCCAATAATATTATCTCCTGTAATGTACTTTCAGTCAGTTGATTTAGTTGTAAGTGCGCGAGGTAGTCAACTAACGGAATTCGCAAGAGCTATTGTCCATTAAATCATACTAAAATAATAGCACATTATTGTAGCCTGCTTTAGTATCGACTTGTCCAGCGGGTGTTTCTATTTCAAAGAAAGTTAAGGAATAAAATTGTAATGTTGTGTAGTTAACGACCGACTCTATCTCAAGATACAATTTGCATGTTAAGTTCGTAACGTCCTAGGGCAGCTGATCGTGCAATTGCACTGAATTCTACTCTTCTATAAGTGTGTGTGTTTTTCTTCTTCCACTGGCTTTGACTGCGAGGTAACTATTAAGTTTGACTCTGTGAATGAAATCTCGAAGTTACCTCTTCGAGAGCAATGCTCTATTTGAAGCCAGCCTTGATTTCACAGCAGCTTTCCTTTTATAGTTTTTATTGAAGTTTAACCTCATATTAATTAATGGTTAGCGAATGAGCGCACGTTCAGGTACCCAACTGTAACGTTATAATCTTTTCCCAGTTTTAAAACGCCCGATAGCCCCAGTCGTCTCAAACAATGTTCAGGCGATTGGGACAATTACATGGAATTTAAAAAAATAAAACTGATATTGAAGCTTAACCTGCAGCTGAGTTAAGTTCCCATGCAGTTCTTCAACACTTAACCCCAGCAGTCCAAGGATGATTCGTAGCTTATGAGCTGACGCCTTGGTTTGTAGGAAAATTAAACAATGCTCATTGAAGGTTCTACTGCACAGCGCTGCAAATAAGAAAATATAGACCAACAATTTCAGCAAGTCAGAAAGTACTGTAAAATTCCGAAAATAAGCCCCTCCATGTATACGCCCCTGCAAATATAAGCCCCCCAGTTCGGTAACGCAAAAAACCCTCCGTTAAATCGCCCTCAAATACAAAGTAAAACAAAGCAAAAACGGTAAATTTACTTCCACCTATAAGGCTAGCCCAATCGATTTTGAAACGCAAATTTCCCTCCGTAGATAAGCCCCTCCGAATATAAGCCCCTCCAAAATAAGCCCCTCAAAAAGGGCCCGGGGTTTATTTTCGGAATTTTACGGTATTAGTTCAAAGAAAATTTTGTAAGGAGAGTTTCATGAACAGTGTACACATAACAAAAAGGAGCTCGTTTTGTCTATAACTCATAACCCTGCGCCCTTTTCAATCCGACGTTTTTCAAAGAGTTCATGAAAGAGATCTAGTTTGGGTAGTTTGACTCCAACCCCCACCGCACTCAATCCACAGAATAACAACCAAACAAGTTTATACAGTACATGTATGTTGTTGGTTACAAGTCTGAATAGAGTTGTTCTGCACTTAAACACGAGTAACTGGTCGTTTCGCTACAAGTCGTTTCCCTGACCTGTAGATCAGAATCTTTTCACAGCAAAGTAATACCGCATCAGTTTGAAAATATACAAAAACAGATAAACGTCAAAGAAACAAAAAGTAGAGGGGTCTTACATACCTGTCACTATAGCCAGTCTATCATTTTCTCTGTTACTTCGTATTCTCACAAACTCCTGTCTCAAGTTATGAGCTACATCAGTGTTATTATCCACAAAAAGTCTGACTGGCTGGTTCAACGACAGAGTGACAAGCTCTTCAACCTGCACAAAACGCAAACAGTAAACCTCTGTCAAAGATTTAAACGAGACAACTGACTTGGTTCCCTTCCAACGCCACTTACACGTGCGCATATACGACTAAGAACACCTCAAAATCTCTAATTTGAGATAACTGCGGCAAAATTAGTCACCTTGTTCGTGAACTGTCAAAGATATGTGTATAGAAGACGGGCTATACATTGTACATTGTCCAATAGTCAAACAAAGTTTGTAACATTTCTTAATCTGGCGTATCTGTACCGGCATGACTATTAAATCCGAGCATTGTTATGGCTTCTTAACAGTGGTTTAAAGATCACTACAAGAACATACATGTACTAAACAGAGGAATGTGTACTGGGGTGGGAGATTACTTTTTTATTTATTTATTTCATTTTATTTTATCAGCTTCGCCAACATAATATAAATAAGTAAGGGTAATCAAACAAAAGAACAAAAAAAAGTGGCAGGGATTCCGCACCAGCGTGAGCCAGTTACTGCGGGCCCAGTAGTTGTTTCTCACAACATCACACGTTTTTTTCGTTCCAGTGGCTAAAAGTTAGTGGGGAGAAGCACTGCGTGATGACTCACAAACACCATAGTACATAGCAAAAGAGACAACAAAATGAAACAAACGTTAAAGCTAAGTATTATCTCACGCGTAACGTTTTTACGGCGTACCTCATCTGTCATTGTTGCGGAGAACAGCATGGTTTGTCTTCCCCTTGGACTGAGCTTAACAATTTCCTCCATTTGGTCTTTGAAGTTCTCGTCCAGCATTCTAAAAATTTAGTAAAGGTACACATTTCCATGTTAGGCTGCTAGAGTACTCAGCAATATCACACTATGTAACAAATTGTGCGTTTTGTCAAGAAACAATGGCGAACACTTGCTGTCACAGCGATTCAGCTTACTACATTTGTACACCTACAGCTGAAAACAATTGAAGTTTACATGAGATCAGAAAAAAGACGAGTTATTTGGGCTGGGTTAGCCTGCATTTTTCAATCAATCTTCTTCCAAGTTTTGTGCCTTCAACAGGAAGTGGCTAAAGGACCCGCTTGAGGTGATGCAATGCCCAAATCTCAGGGTGAGTGGGATAAAGATTAGAGTCCTTTAATTGTACTGGCAACTTTAGATTAGGAAGACCTCATCACTGGCCTTCACATGTGGTTTAAAAATTATTATAATATAATAATATACAGTATTTATAGAGCGCTAATTCCCAATGGTCCAAAAGCGCTTCTTATTGAAAAGTAACTGTTATTATGTTACCCACTTTTACAGTAACATCATTTACACGTCCAAGAGTGATTTTGACTGAAAAAATACAGGGTAACCTCCTTTAAGTCACCAACCAAAATGCAAAGACTAAGTGGTCGCTTACAGGAGGTGGTCACTTCCAAGAATCGAACCACAGCGGGCCTTTCCCGAGAAGAGGTCCAGGCACATCTACTTTATGGAAGATAATTTATTGCATGCAATGTCTAAGTTAGGGTATGTGTAGTTCCATGTTGTCATGAAGTTGTTCGTATATTCTAAGTACTGTAACATACACACAGTGAAAATAGAGATCAGAGAATGCGTCAAAAGGTCGCTAACAAGAGGTTAAAAACAATAGAAAATCAATAACCGTCAGGCCCAAAAAGCGGTCGCGGTCGCTTACAGGATGTGGTCCTTTATTAGAGGTTCCAACTGTAAGGCTTTGACTGGGAAAATTTTGGTGTTTTGGATTGGCGGTCGCTTATGGGAGGTGGTCGCTTACGAGAGGTGGTCGCACATGAAGGAACTTCGACTGTATATATTATCATGATAAATTTTCGAACAGAGTTACAATGTTTTACTTCACCTGTCAGCTTCATCAAGGACAATAATCTCAATAGTCTGCAGACTGAATGATGGTGTATTATGCAGATGATCAACAAGTCTTCCTGGGGTGGCAATAACAATATCAGGTCCTTTACGCAGCGCTGCTTCTTGAGTCTTAATATCAAGGCCACCTACAAAGTGGTACAAAATTCGTCTTGAGAAGAATCATCTTACAAGTCAACTGATAGTAATCAGGGGCGGGTCTAGGGGGAGGGTGCAGGGGGTGCGCACCCCCCCTGAGATGACCTGCGGTTTTCTAATACAACTGCAGGTATTCTGCAAAAAAAAAAACTATGTGGTTTATTGGTGTTGAAGTAGACTGAGCAAGAGACTAGTGCACCCCCTCCTAAAAAAAAATCCTGGATCCGCCTCTGGTAATGAATGAAATAAACGCAATTATTTTGGAAAGAAGAATGGGAAAAAAGAATGTCTACTCTGCATATTTTCCTTTTTTTACATGCTCTCCTTACTAAGAGACAGACATGGGTGGACCCCAGATCTCTTTATTGCTGTTAAAGAAGGAGAAAAAGACACTACCCATTATTCTCAACGATTGAATGTCAAGTCAGCACTCTCCACTGATATCTGTACATGTACCTAAAGGTTTAAACTCTTAAGCAGTACCGAGATCTTTGAAAGACTTATGATTGTATGTTTTGCAGTAGAAAAGTCACTTTTGACATAACATTTAAAGTAAGTTTTTCCTCAGAACAGTGTACAGCTGTAGATGTGTGCTACAGTATAAATGTTAATACAACTGCATAGAGTGCATTAGTTAAAAGAAGAGAATGCTAAAGCATTACTGGGTATATATGAGTGGTAATTCAAGGCAAAAGTAGGTAACAGTACTCTGTAAATACTAACCAGTTGCTAGACAGACTTGAATGTTTGTGTGCTTACACAATGTTTTAGCCACTGAGTGAACCTTAAACAAATAAACGTGCTTGATATCAACATTGGATTTAAGTTAAAGTGCTATAAACAGTTGACAATTTGCATGAATTCTCACGTTGGTTTGTTCATGCAAATAATCAAGGAACCTAGAATTAAGCGGTTTTCCCTTTTCGGCGAACCGAACGTCATGATCAAATGCAGTGCCAAAATGTCAATCGCTAACAGATCCAAAAACTCAGAAACTCCAATCAGACAGTGTGCTAATGACAAGCTAAAAGAAAGCTTCTCGAAAGAAACTGAACGCAAAATCTAACACCCATTTTCCTCAGTCTTCGAGGTAACGCCACGTGAAATTTGTAGTTGGTTTCTCGCTGGACGTATGGTCAATAACTTATGCCAAAAATTGAGGCTTCAACGATTCTCGAATCGCGTAGCGCGCGAACTGACTCTCGTCGCACAGGAAACGAGACTCGACTGGTAACTTACTTTTGAGCGGTACTGTATACTGTATGCACACTACAGCTGTATATAACAGTTTATTAAGGTAAGGGAGTCTAAGAACATGAAAGGGTAATGTTCAGTTTGTTGAATTGTTGAAATCAGCCTACGCTAATAAGTTGCCGGGAGCCAGGGGGTTCTTTTGGTCTCGTCTTCTTTTTGTTTCCTAAGAAAATATCCGGGAGTCATGCTTATAGTAGCCGAGGGAAATCCCCGGCCTGAGGCCCTTAGTTACAACCCTGCATGTACAATCATGGAAAGGAATAACAAACACAAAAAATAATATTTATTGAATAATAATATTAATAATAATTAAAAATTTATAATGCGACTTTTCCATGTAAATATGATCAAAAGCGTGTAATTACCGCAGTGTTTGTGAAATGTCTTTGTTTATCACATAATTTTTGGTTGAGGTTGCCACTAAACTGGCTATTGAATAAATTTTAATTCTACCTTTATCAAAAAATAATAATAATAATAAATATTTCATAATGCCTAGATGGACGTTACCCGATAAAACACTCCTGCTCATTTATTAAATATCACTTAACGATATGCTCATTGTATGACCACTATATTGATGTTAGTAGTACCTGAATGGCAAGTTCTCTTGTGGGAGTAAGAATGAGCACTCTTGTTACTGACGTCTGCTGTGGTCGATAAATAAGTCTTTCCAATATTGGTAACATGTATGCAGCTGTCTTGCCTACATTGCATAAAAAGGTTTTCAGGTAATGACGGTGTTTAAGTACAAGCTTGAGATGAAATTGACAAAGCCACAGGTAGTAATGACAATGTTAGCCTGTACATGTACATTTAAGTGATTTGGCCACCTCTAAAAAGTACAAATGTATCCTCCTATTTCATTAAAAGTTGCTTTCGGATTTGTTCATTGAAACACAGAATACAATCTAATGCTTTGCTTGAGTGACCACCAAAACGATGGTTTTCAAAGACCAACGCATGATTCCTAAAGCAACCTTTATAGAAATAGATGTATACATATTAACAACCTCTAGGTTCAGTGCAGGGAACTTAAAAGAGGACATGTTTAAAACACGAAATCATGAAATGGGAAAATGACTTTCTGACTTTTCGTTGTTGCTACCATAAAATTATTTGAACCGGCAAAACTATGCTCAGCACGCAAAACCTCTCAAATATTTTTGTGTCTTATTTGCAGTTACGGTGACCCTGTTTAGAACAAAAAATTGTAAATTTAGGACAACAGCGTCAATTATATCCTATTTGCAGAGTATGTGTAGAACGGTTAGCACCTTGTTTTGACTGTAGACTTTTTACTTTTATTGTCATCCTAACATACGTTAAAGTTGTAGCTTTGCTTTTTCTAATATGCTCTGCCAGTCTTGATGTCTCTGCTGATCGGGACACTGCGGCTAATTTTCCCACGAAAGAGCTATTTTTGGCACATGTGATGAGCTTATGCGAACCCATCACAAAAGCTCTGCGCGATAACAATCTTGTCACCAGAGCCTTCAGATCTTATGCCTGCGCAATTATAGAGAAGAGCTCTGGGGTCAAGAATGCGCGTGACTACAGTACAACGACTGAATAGTACATATAGGGAAGAAAACCAGTAAAGAAAAATTACCCCCTTATTGGAGCCACCATTCCAGTAACCATCAGTTTGTCTACTTTATTGTTATGATCTAGGGAACCTTCAAATACACATGCCTGCTTTTTGCCACATGTACAATTAATTTTTCATTATAAATTGACATTAAAATTACCATTATCAATATAGTCATTGTCCTTCCCATAATTATTGTTATGATTATGACTGTTTGCTTGTTTGCAATTAAAACCTGACACACGTCACTAATAATATTAACACATCAAGGGTGGGAACGAATTAATGTTTTCTTAATGCATTTTGATTAAATCTTTTAACTGGTACAAACCTGTTCCCGTAGCAGCACATGCACAGATGTCTTTACCCATTAGAGCAACAGGAACAGTGGATGCCTGGATTGGAGTAGGATGGCTGAAACCCAAGTCATTTACGGCCTTAAATTAAGGTAAGTAAAATCAATGCAAGTTTACATTCAAATTTTAAAGATGTATAGTCCATAGATTCAATAATTATTATCCACTCTCAGAAGACCCACGGAGGCTCATTAGAATAATGTTCCGAAGGATAAGGGGGATCTACATGCAAATGCCAGAAGAAAAAACTGAAGCTAAATTGGAATTTTATTTTCGAAGGATTAGGGGGTAGTTCTTCAAACTATTAAAGATAACCTGCAAAAGTGCTCAGACAGTGATGGCACAAACAAGACAACAGGGTAAAAAAAGGAAATTTGTTTTGTCCTCTTGCTGCTCTGAAAAAGGCTACATGTTACTGTCCAAGGCCCCATTCATCAAAAGATGGTTAATGTTTCACCTAGAGTTGAGATAATTTTTTGGCAAAGGAATATGTACACTGGAACTGGAACTTTATACAGTGTAAATGTTGATCAACCTTTACCCCAAGACCCAGTTTATAAGAGAACACAGTGTGATACATGCACCCTACAAAAATCTTGTGAGGTACATGTAACTATATGTACTAATTTACTGTGATTATCATTGAATAGTCTTGAATTAGCCATTATAATTAATAAACCATTAATCAGCCACTTAGGAATCAATCAATTGGCAATCAGAGAATCACAATAATATTCATGTCAAATCCTGTGTTATGCAATCAGTACTGTATATTCATGTAATGTTTGTACTGTTTACCTTGAGTAAAGGTCTTGATAAGTTCAAAGTTGTGAAGGTTTGATGCATCACTTGAGGAGGAGGTTCCTCAAAAAATTTCCTCTTCTTTTCTTTTATCTGTATTAAAGTCAAATCACAGTTAATAGTTTGGATTTGTTTTGAACTCATTAGACTCCTTTGTTATTAATATATGTTCTTGAGGACCTCAGGTGCACAACGTTCAGTAGCATTTCCAGAATTTTGAGCGAGCTTTCAACATAAACTGAAGCTAAGACACTCTCCCATACTAATTTTAAAAATTACTTATTTAAACTTTACCACAGTATGATTTCTTTTCTTGATCATTTTAAGATTTGTAAAACCTTTTAGTTTCATTAGTAGTCAATTAATCAATATTGTATTAATAGCAGTTCATTATGTAAGTTTAGTTGGTAGATTATATAGGTAGTTATAAAATAACTAAGATAGTACGCGCGCTCTGATTGGCTGAGAGCAGTGTTTGCATGAGAGTATGTAAACATGGTTGTGGCGTCAAGTTGTTTGGCTTTTCGCGCGCTAATCACGCAAGAACCAAATTTGAAAAAGTTTTCGAGTTCAAAACTGGACAAGTTTACTTTATTTACCCATTCCTTCGTCGGCTGAAACATGGAAAATCGTTACAAAGAAGGTGAGTCAATTTTTCGACGCTTAAGTTGACATTTTAAGCGAGAAAACTCCATATTTTGCAAAGCATCTTTTTGCAAAACAAGAACTCATTACGCGTGCAAGACTTCGTGGACGAGATTTTGCGACTGGTAAGAATTTCTCTTTTAATCAGTGCCATACAAAGAGTTTTGTGTTTTTTCTAGGGAAAGTTATTTTATAAAAGCAATAGAAAACTTTTTTCCTGTGTTTGCATAGCCTGATATAAACACTCGAGGCGTTGGGAGAATTCTCGACGGTTATGCAAACACGGAAAACGTTTTCTAAAATTCTCGACGGTTATGCAAACCCTCGACTTCGTCTCGGGTTTGCATAACTGTCTCGAATTCTCCCAACCCCTCTCGTGTTTATATCAGGCTATGCAAACACGGAAAACGTTTTCTATTGCTTAATTAATTAATTAATCGATACATTTTATTACTTTAATTGTAGGAGGGCTATTATGAAAACTACTGGGTGACCAGTAATCAATGTCTTTACCCTCATTAAATAAAGTTATTACTTACTTACGCTGTTGTTTTTACATTTGATGTTTGTTGTCTTTCATAACGAGTCTCCGTTAATAACTATGGTACATTTAAATAGATGGTTTGAAAAAGGAACATTCAGCCTTTCTCTCTTCTTTATGTCACTTAAGCATCAACTAATGCATAATGTTAAACGTCAAATTTGATTTCAGGTTAAATTCTTTTAACCTACAGTACTTCTCGAAAGTAAGTTACCACCCTCTCCATCCTCGGAGACCCAGGGAGAGAGAGTGGGTGCGAGTCTAAACGGGCGGAAAAATATGGCACAAAGAAAAGTAAAGAACGGCGAGTAGAGCCGCTGGGGACAATGTCTTACAAGACCAGTTCCAAACGGTCGCCACCCTTCTGGCTTCTGATTGGGCAGAAAACACAAAAGTTTTCTGGCACCAATCAGAAGCCAGGACGGCGGCGACCGTTTGGAACTGGTCTGGTAAGACATTGTCCCCAGGGGCTCATCTCGCCGTTCTTTACTTTTCTTCGTGCCATATTTTTCCGCTCGTTTAGACTTTCTCTTGCACCCACTATCTGCCCCTGGGTCTCCGAGGATGCACCCTCTTATGAGATGCACATCACGTCGGGCGCTACACAATTCCTGTAGTCTCCTATCCCTAATTATTCATGAATTAGGGCTTAAGGAAACAAAGGAAATTGAAAATTGACCTGTAACACATCATCTACATGTATAAGAATTCTTTTGAGAAGTTGCATTTGACAGACCGAATCTTGCAGTGTGGCAGAATTTTCAAGTTGTGGGTACATCACCTTCATTTAAAGAGATTTTTTTTTCCAGTTTTTCCTTATGTCAGTGTCTTCACTAAAGGAGAAACAACTTATACAAGTTACATGTGCATGCATGAATGTACCTTGTCATTGATTTCATCATCATCTGAACTGCTATTTTCCTCCTCATCTGAAGATTGGTTAGGGCCTACAACTTAATAAATAAATAAATTAAACTTAATAAATACAACTTAATAAATAATAAATTAAAACAAAAAAAAAATAAAACCTGTGACAACTCAAACACAGCATGAGATGCACATTTCACTCAACTACATATATGTACTTTTGAAAATTCCAAGGGGGAGGGGGTCTAAACTGAGATTCCCAGAGGGGTGGGGTAGGGAAATGGTAGATGCATAAAAATTCCCCCCTCCCTCCCTCCCTCCCCCCCCCCTCCCCAAGGAAAAAAATATATGTGGCATATACATTACTAGCTGCTCGTGAGTATAAAATTGCTGCTGGGTTACAAGAACAGAATTACACATGTACAAGGATTTCATACACAATTCATGAAAACCAATTTAAGAAAAGTGAGTCTGAGTAAAATGACCTTACCATTAGTCTCCATACTTTCATCTTTAACTTCTTTGCCTGGTACAACACTGGCGGCACTTGTTTTATTGTTTTCTTCTTCCTCATCTTGGGTCTCTTCAAGTTCCTTGTTAGATTTGTTCTACAAAAGTAATAAAAAAATTGAATGTTTTGAACTTCCAAATGTAACAGTATATATCAAAACATTTATTAAAAAGCTGGAATGTAAAGGATGGTGCTTAATCAATCAAGGTGTAATTAATCTTTTCTTTAAGGAACTATTAATACAACATGTAATATACTTTATAATAGTATAAAAATGAAGCAGCATCCAAGGATGTTAGGACTTACAAAGGTACAATAATTAACTGAAAGTGTACTATACCTTTCTCTTGGCTTCTCTTCTCTTTGCTATTTTGTCCTGAAGGCTTGAAGAATTGATTGTCTATTACAATAAATAAAACAACTTAAATTCTACTGAAAATTATGTTTACATATAAACCAACATCATGCAAACCTTGTCCCATGCATGATTTTTAGGAAGATTTTAAAATTAAATCATTCTTTCTTCTCCAAAATACGCAAAACAAGAACTTGGTCTAGACCTCGCGATTGGTCATTAACGCATATATCTCAGTACACTGAATTTTCTTTGTAACCACGTGTCAAATAATTCAGCTATAAATCTACAATGTTGAAAGCCATTCAATTGATAGTACAGGACGGAATCCTTTAAGTTATTTACTCACCGACGCTTGTTTTCTCTTAGCAAAGTTGATAGCAGCGTCAAGGTTCCAAGGATCCTCAGAAAAGTCTTCAGTGTCTCCCGAAAAGAACTGAAAGCTATCATCGAACAATGACTTCCCTTTCTTCTTTGCCTTGGTCTTCTTGACTGGCTAAAAATTCAAGAAGATCCCTAAGTGAAATTAGAAAAGGTATCGCAGTAAACAGGAATTACTTTATACCTTTTCTGATTCATCTTCACTGTCGGTTTCATTGTCGAATTGTTCAACATCGTCGTCTGAATCCAACGTTCCAACGAAAGGTAGAGCCGCCATGTTGGAATTTGATCCGCTGTGCCTAATGAGTGCAGTCGCGAAGAAGTGTCACAGGAATACCAATATAGGCTGCGCTAGGAATTTCCCTTTGATCATATTTTTTATCCTTTCTCTTGATTACTCTTTTTTTTTCTTTTGTTACCTGTCTTGTTTTCTTCTGGCTATCAACAGACTATCTCCCTGGCTCATAAAAAATCATGCATGGCGTGGGTCAGTAATAGCTCGTACAATTGCTGCCGTCGGAGAACCTCCGTACAGGACTCCAGCCCAATACTTATTCGTTCGAAGACCATCAGCAACCCCGCAATCCACCAACACCACAAACACTATTTTGATAAACTTACATTAAAAACTCGCGACTAAGAACCTGCATTTTTCCAAGTTAGCTAGCCTGGGGCCAGACTCCACGGTTGGGAAACTGGGAAAAGGCGAAAGAACAATCGGCGAAACAACCAGTCCACCTCTCTGTGCGCTTCGCTCGCCGCCGATTTTTTTTTTAATCCCATTTTTCCCCACAGCGGAGCCTGGACTCAGGCTACAAGTTGGCGCAGGAGCCCATGTCTGGCTCAACAGGTCCAGGGGGAGGGGGGCAGCTGCCTCCCTTGCCCCCCTGCTAGCTACGGCTCTGCTTGTAATGCATAATTTTAACGACAAGAAGGGCTGGAATTCATAACTTCCTTCTTCTGTTGTAAGAATACGCGTATCAAACCCTAACAGTCTGTTTCTGCCTTTTAGCAGTCGCGCTGCGATTCTGGTTTTCTCATTCTCGATCAAAACTGGTGCTATTTGGTTCCTTGTAGTGGTTAAAACGTATGATTTATCTCGGCGAGGAGCCGAGTAATCGCCTTCTGTCTTGGTTTAATTTTACTAACGAAAACGGAGACCAGCGAGTAAATAAAAAGGGCTGAATGATTTTGTTTAATTGTACTGTAAGGGTTACCTTATTTGACTAAGTACAATAATTTAAATTCAAGTTTATAGCTTCGCCAAACTTGACTGGGGTATTAATTTATACTAACGGTTAGGCCTCTATACTACCTGACTTGTAACAGGTGGTTTCTCGACTTTAAGCTAGCCAGAAACCCCAGTATCCACAAGATAAGGAAAACCGAGATAGGACGAATTCTTCAAAAATAAGAAAGTTAAAAAAAATTTGTAATTATTGCAATTGTTAAAAAAAAAGTAAAGAATCCTTATCTGAAGTTTTTTTTTTCTTTTTAACTTGTAAGAGCATTTTAAATATTATTGTTCTGTTTTTAAACAAAGTAAAATAAATAAAGATGTTTAATCATGCACATTCTTGCATTGAAAATGAGTTACAATGTGTTTACGTACAATATATAGCAAAATTACAAAAAACTTATTGGCTCTGGAGTTTTCTGTTCTCTAACAATATATTAATTAAAAATCGTAAAACCTAGTAAATTACAAGAATATGGCTCAATAATAGTTACAACAAGAATTATATTAACTTAAAAACAAGTCGTAAACAGTTTTATATTTAAAAGACAAGACGTCCAAGAGTTAGAATTTCTAAGAGCATATTCATGGGCGATAGTCCTAATCGGGATTAGATGTTTTTACAAGGACGCCCACCTTTTGTAATTTTGTCAAATGTCCTCATATTGAGTTCATTGCGCCTGTGCTCAAGTGTAGGGATTTTAGCAAGTTGTAAGGCTTCCTGGTATGAAGATCGGGGGTATATTATCCTTAAAGCACGCATTTGGACCCGCTCTATTTCACTAGATGGATAGGTGGAAAGGGCGTTATGCCAAATCACACAACAATACTCTAACACGGAAGGTATGAGAGCGACGTAGATAGCAACAAGATCAGCAGCAATGACGCCACCTCTACGTCTGAGAACACAGATAATATGTAGACGCTTGGACGCCTTGCATACAATCATACAGATGTGCTCATTCCATCTCAGATTGTCCTCGATAACCAAACCTAGAACGTTGTGTGAGCGAACTGTTCCGAGTACTCGACGCTGAGAGGTCTGTTTAAAGAAGCACATGCTGTTTTTGCGTTTTCATCTCCTTTACTTTACCTTGAAGCATTACGACCGAAGCTAATTTAAAAGGGAAAAGAGCGAGCATAATTATTTCACAACTAGAACAATTTAGATACCTTAACCTAAATAAATAAATAGATAAGTTTAAAATTCGTCCTCTGGCTCTTCAAAGTATTCGCTTATAAGATGAGCTGAATCATTTTCTGGAGCAGGAAGCCAGTTGTTCGCTATGTATTTGATTCCTTTCTTTACGATGCATCCCCCATGTAGTGATCTACCATCTCTGTGGCTCATCCAACCTGTCGTTCCATCAAGAATATAGTTATACCACATGACAGCTTTCCCTTTTTTCGCTGGTACAACAATGTTGGCGGTTTGACAATAATGATTCAGGTTAAAGCGGTCTCCATCTTTACGGTCTCTGAATTCCTAAGGAAAAAAAAATTATCATAATAATAAAATACACTAAAAATAGTGTTTTAACGAAATAGTTTTTTTTTTTTTTTTTTTTTTTTTAAAGTGAATTTTTGATTTTTTGTTTTTTTTAATTTTTAATTGAAGGAAAATTTTTTAAAATTGAAACCCCTTTCTCGGAAAAAACTGTAAAAAAAAAAAATTTTAAATTTATATTTTGAACGTTTCATTTCCTGGAAAATAGGTTTTTTTTTCCCTTTTTTGTGAAATATAACGGTAAGGGGAAACAAAAAAAAAAAGATTTTACACAATAGTGTTTTAACGAAATAGTTTTTTTTTTTTTTTTTTTTTTTTTTAAAGTGAATTATTGATTTTTTGTTTTTTTTAATCTATAATTGAAGGAAACTCTTTGAAAACTGAAACGCCTTGCTCGGAAATAACTGTAAGACAAAATAATTGTATATTTATATGTAGCACGTTTCATTTCCTGGAAAATGGGTATTTCTGTCCCTTTATTGCAGAATAATACGGTAAGGAGAGACAGAAAAATACAGTCTTTACACGCATTTCTTACAGGGAGCAGCATAAGCAAACTTACAGTTTCATTGAAATTTTTCATATCCGCCACAGGGAAAGCAGTTTCTCCGCCCTCTTCTACGTCATTTAGATAATAGAGGATGGTGATGTACCTGTAAATAAACCATTAACGGGATCCGGCGTTACAAAAACAATGTAAAATCAGCAAAATGAAATTAAGTACCGTATGTCAGTCCAAGATGGTGTCCAGGTCGCCCGGTTGTTCAAACGTTGGATAGCGCCATCCACCGGATAAATAGCTATACAACGGAAAGTATTGAGGAAATCAATTGCGTTATCCACTGGATAGAGATTTATTCGGTGGATAGCGTTATCCACCTTTCGAACAATCGGTGGGCCCAGATAAATCACTATCCAGCGGATAAGTATTACAGAAACCAATTGCGTTATCCACTAGACAAAGATTTATCCAGTGGACAGCATTATCCAGCTTTTAAACAACTGGGGCCAGGTCAAGAGATTTTACACGTATCAAGAAATGGTCCATTGTATTCTCCCATCAAAATTTAAACAAGCCTTTAAATATGCCTTTTTTCCACAATCCTGGACAAAACTACTTGAGAATGTTTTTCCCATAATGTACACTATCCTACGAAACCAAACTATTTCCAAAACAGCGGCTTTGTCCTCCTTCCCCCAGTTCAATGTTGCTTCCTACAAAAGCTGAGGGATCAGGCTTCTTTTGAACACACAACAACATTGCTTCCAGGGGGAGGAGGAGGGGGAGAGGGAAAATCGGTAACAGCTACGATGTTTAGAAAAATGCTCCCCAAGTATGAAATTTTCTTAACAGTTTTGTCCAAGATTGCTGGTGATTCCTCTCCAGAATTTTATTTCGTTTTGTCGTCCATCACGTACCTACAAATCCTGCATTTTCCCATAGGCGCCTTTGCCAAATCATAATGACAACAGTTGGTCCCTTCGGGGTAGTCAGACTTTTTAGAGCTGTCATAATGCGCATGGTAATGACCAAAGGGTCCATATTTTACCACCTGAGGTAAGCCAATAATAAATATTAAAGACCTTCAGATTTGAGAACAAGGACGACTACGAGCGGACGAGATTTAAATGACCTCAATTTTTTTTGTCGCGTATTCTCAAAACTCGACACCCTGGAAAGTTTCAGTGTGGTAAAGTTTTTTTCACCAGTAAAATAAGCATTGTTACTTTTATTGAAGGATGTTCGTTGAAGCCTTCTCCGGAGCCCAAATGAAAAACTTCTAACATTTTGATAACTTGTTTCCGCCACTATGACATTTTCGCAAAAACACGTAGTGGAATAAAGAGGGCTATCCAGCGTGTTTTCCCGCCAAAACGACGCTGGTTCACGCACGCGTTCAAAATCTCCTCCTCGTAGTCTTCTTGATAGAATCTCTATTGCTCTGTTACATTAATTGCTTAATCTAATACACAAATTAATTTCAAGTAATGAACTAAAGGCCTTAATATGCATCAATTTTCTCTTCAATTTTCTTTTGAGTTAATGGAAACGAGATCATATGTTCATTAAAGTCGGTTTCTATAAGTTCGGAGTGTTTTCTATTGGACAATGCCCCTTGGTATGCCTTATTATTAGTTTCTGCTTTAAAACCTACAATTAAGGCGAAATAGTAAAACAGGCTATAGAAAGTATTAGAAAAATGCAGATACATGTAGTACAAACATTAACCACAAGGGACTGCAAAGGACCGCAAACGAATATGCCGAAGAACGTAGGATCTATAAAGACCTGAGTGCTCTACCAGGATGTGTCTTTCAAGCAGATATCGTATACGACAGTTTAAGGAGGGATTTAAATTGTGACAAGCCCAGTTAGAGAAAGGTAGGCTTCAAGACAATATACCTGGAGTGGTTCGCCACCATATACTATCCTCTTCTGAAGACGAGTTAGCTTATGAACTCTGTAAAACAAAATCAGACGGAAAATTGTCAGTGAAAGCTCTTTCTATGCAGAAATATAACTGTCGAATAATGACTATCTTGTGATTAAAATATTCAGTAGGTAACTTGAAGATAATCAGGTATTAATGTAATTTATCATTAAATTCAACTTAAGGAACCTTTTAACGAGTCGTTTGTTTGTTTTGGTCTTGTTTGGTTTCGTCATTTTTTTTTTTTGTTTCAGATTTTCATGAGCCACTTGTGAATAAAATGGGTCCCCAGAAGGCTTTTCGGTATCCAGGATTTGACTTATTGAAAGCTGACCAAGATTGCGGATTTTGGATTGCAGAAAGTTTACACGGGATGCGGGATACCGAAAACACACATCGGGATTACAGGATTAAGCGAAAATTTGGGTCCAGGTTACGAGATTGAAGAACCCTATAGCTACTGAGGACACTCGGTAACCTCAACCGACAATTAGCGTAAAATCAAGGTAAATATAATAATATGAATGATGACAATAATGAAGGTGTAGAGAACCAGGTACACTATACGCGCGCAGGTCTTTTGATAAACTCTACATACACTTTGTACGTAAATTCGTGTTGGTTTTGTCCTTGGATCCTCCTGTCCGTCCACACAGCCAATCACATCTCAAAAACTTTGACAGATGAATTTAGTGAAAATTTATATATTATGCAGAAGTATTTTAGCAAGAGTGGTATCTACGTCTTTTCGTTACCACTAGAATTTATCTGAAAACGAAATGTTACTGAGGGAACTTTTGCCATCTGTCTTACTCTTGGAACTATTGTTAGACGACTTTGAAAATTTTAATATGGAGGGAAAGGGAGAGGGGGTGGAGAAAGTTTTTATAATCAAGGAAACCCACAAGATATATGTACACTTCCCTTTATGTACGTTCCACAGCACCGTATTTTTGTTGCTGCCAACGAAAATTGTTAAGTTTACCTTTGTTTAAGCCTCAGCAGTGTTGGATCGACATGTTGGAAGAGCCATACTTGATCGCTAAATCGATCTCTATGGTGAGGATGCTTCTCTTTCATATCATTCATGTACATATCAATGGCGTGCGTCTTCAATGATCTCCATTCTTCATATCCTACGACCTCTGTTTGTAATATAAGTGATAGTCTTCAGATTTTATTGGGATACTTCTGGTTGCAATGACGTTGATGGTCTACCTTATATAAAACCTAGCTCCAAGCTTACCTTTCGTTCTTTCATTTTTTTTTTTTTTTTCAATGTTATTGTGCAAGAAACGGAATTTAAACAACAGCCATAGATTCTTTTGAATTTTTTGGAAGAAAAGAGGGATTCAAGAGATAAGTTTATAAATGAATGAATAAATATATTATCGTCATCATCATAACTAGTGTTGCTTGTTCTCTAGGCCTGGATCAAGGGATTTCTCCTTTTCTCCCTTGTCCCCTTTAAAGAGGAGTCAAATGAAAAGCCAGCTTCTGACCAGCATTTTAGACATATATTTTCATTGCATGGTACCAAAAACGAACTATCTTTGCGAAGAAAAGGGGAATACGTACATAACCTTTACTTATTACAAAATATTTAGTTACAAACCGTCATCAAATTCTTTAAGATCCAAAGTTTCTATCCTGCAAGCAACAAGATATATTAGTTTATTATTCATCTCTTTCCTTTCTTTCATTTAATCAACACAGTAATCTGCTTAAAAATGTAAATTACATTGATTGCGTTTGTGAGCCTTCGTGATGGAATGGAGCCCCCGCAATATAAAAAACCATTACTATAGTACCCATGAACAACACACTCATTATCATCATCATCATCAACATCATCATCATCATCATCCCCATCGTCGTCATCGTCATGGCCATCGCCATAGTCATCGTCATTGTCATCGCAACCATCATCAACAATATATTATTATTGTTTATTTTAGCCAATCATAAGCCTTTGTAACTGGCTCTAAGATAGGTTGGGGGGGGGGGGGGGGGCCCCCCTCTTTTTTGTTTTTTTGTCCCTCGGGGGGTTTGGGTTTTACATTCCCCCCACATATCTTGCCCCCCATTCCCCCCCCCCCCCTCCTCTTCTTCGCTCGCCCCCCCCCCCATTTACCCTTTTTTGTCACCACCACCCCACAAAAATAATTTTTTTTTTTTTTTTTTTGTCCAAATAAAAGCTCTTTTATTTTGTCTCAGAAGGGGGGGGGGGGGGGGGGGGGGGGGCTCTCCCGTTCTTGTTGTGATCTTCGCCTGCAGGGATTTGGCTTGTAAATATCCCGTCCAAATCTGCTGCCCCTTAGCCTCCAGGGACGCCTTGTGACGTGTCAGTCACGTTACTAACCACGTAAATGAAATTATCACGCCTTTACTGTTATCTTATCTGTTATTGTAATTTTAGGAACCATGGAGATGTGATAAAGTAAATCTTTCGCGCAGTTTAGGTGGTCGCGAATGAAAGAAACGATACGAAGAAACTTACATCTCGTCTACTTCCTTTAGGGTCATGTACAGAAATTTAAACTTTTTAGCAAACTCTATTACCTGTGTAGAAAAAGGACACCCATGAGTAAAAGGAAACTTCGTAGAACTGCAGTGAATACGTCCGACAGAACATCCAAGTAATAAATTAAATTACCTTATAAAGGCAGAAACTGTTTGTCCTTGGCTTCGTAAAGCGTAGATCTCGCCCCGTGAAAGGGAATCCAGAAAAGTTTTGCTAGTGGAATCCGGAATGCTGTTTAAGGATTCCGGATCCCACTGGCGACTGGAATCCGGAATCCATGTTCCACTAACAGAAAATCCGGAATCTATGGCATGAAATCCAGAATTCAAGTCTGTCTTGGATTCCCTTACATGGGACGATATATCATTTTATCTCGTACTCTTAGGAGACGTCGTCTTGCTGTTTATTGAGTTTTTGGACTAGGAACTACTGGTCGTTAGATGGCAACTTGCCATAAAAGTGAAAATGTAGCATAGTTTAGTTTCATCCGCCACCTTGAGAGGAAATCGATAGTTATTTAGTTAAATAAGTAAATTAATTAATTAATTAATAATTTAAGAAATAAAATGTTTCCTAAGTCAAAACAGATTTTTAATTGTTATTCTTCAATGACTACTCGCCAATACACTGAAATTTGTTAAGCAGAATTATAAAATATATCTAAGACCAAGACTAACCTCATCTTTTGTGATTTCGTAATCTCTGTTCAAGTCCCAATTCAGAAAATATCCAGCAGAGCTATTAGAATGACCTACGCAATTTAAAAACGTCATCGTGTCAATAACAATATGTTCGAATCTGATTGCTTCTGTTAGTCGGCTCATTCATTGTTTATAAATCTGGCGGAGGCAGCAGTACTGTCAGAGTGTCTCAATGGGGAGGTAGCTTTGAAAGTTAACGGTAAATTTTTTTCCAATTTTGACGCTTGATGATTAAATTTGAGGTCTTTTAACGCTTGACACTTATTAGGTGGAAATTTAGTCCAAAAGTATAAGTAAATATTAACTTCTGTCTGTTATGTTTTGAAGGTTTTCTTGACCGTTTACTTAAACAATTTCTAAATATTTTCAGATATAAGCAGGTTGTAAGGTATTTTAATGTCTCCTGAAGAGTGTTTTTCATCAAAAACGTGGGAACTGGTTTTCCAGTTCCGAGGTTATCCAGTGAAGATCAGCTGAAATAGTGAGATTTGAAATACCTTGAAACTTTTCACATTTGGTCTTAATCTGCATTTTTGACGATTGACGGTTTTGACGATTAACTTACGATTAATCTGCCTCTTTTAACGATTGACGGTTAATTTTTGGGTCGTTTGACAGCTGACGGCTGACCCCATTGAGACCCTTTGTCCGATTTATACTGTTAAGATGCTGCTTGCTTCAATTGGAAAGTTCCAGTTGGATTGTCAACAACCAATGAAAATAAAGCAGTAAAAGGTGCTAGCCAATTAGATTTAACTACCTACTTTATTCAAACAAATCAACATATCTTGATAGAGAAGATTGCGCAACTTCAGCGTACAAAAAAAAATACGTGAAAAGGGAAGTGGAGGAAACTAACTCGAAGCCGTGTGCAGGAGGCGAGGGTGAGGGGGGAAGGGGGGGGGGGAGTTTAGGCGGGGAAAGGCTTATTTGTCACCGTATTAAATGATCATGAGAGGCTGCTAACGCAGAGCCACGGCACGAGAAAACGCTAGGAAACGTTTTCTAGCAAACTAAGCAAATTTAACGGGTATTACATAAAATATTAGGCATAAACTTCAAATTCAGTTTGTTTCAAATAGAAACTTTCAAAAAGAATGTCAAAAAAAAAAAAAAAAAAAAGCATTAAAAGTTTTAGACCAATTTAATTTAACTCCTTCTTTTATAAAAAAAAATTAAAATTTTTTGATAAAAAAGGTTCCGGAACTGCAGTGAAAAAAAAAAAATAGGGGAAAGGGGAAGGGGGGGAAATGAACTGGGGGCTTTGGGAGGGAGGGGGGGGGGGGGGGGGAAGGGGGGGGGGGAGTTGAGGGGGGGATAGGCTTATTTGTCACCGTCTTAAATGATCATGAGAGGCTGCTAACGCAGAGCCAGGGCTAGAGAAAACGCTGGCAAACGTTTTCTAGCAAACTGAGCAATTTTACCGGGTATTAAGTAATATATAGGGCATTACCTTCCATTGATCTCAATGTTTGCGCATGCTCTTTAGCCTTAGGGTCTAGGTGGATATCACTTTTAGCGAAGCCACTCTCTTCAGCTAGTTCAATAATGTGGTCAGCTTCCTCTGGAGTCATGAAATCTGGAATCTCTACAAAAGAAGCAATCGAAAACAATACACTGGTTATGGTATTGATTAAAGCACTCAGTGATATAACAAGCGTGAAGTTGCATGTTTCTTCTCTCTCAGTCTCATTGAGATCATAATAAATGTCTTTCCCTGCAACCATTTGGGTCTTACTGCTTCACTGTGTCAAAGCATTTTCTATCATTTTTATTTGTGTTGCAAAAGATGAAATTCTGCAAGGGCTTGGTTGATAAAATAGACTTCGCAACCTTTAGACCAGCGTTGAGTGGAATCGGATCACAACGAGTCGGTAACTTAGCCTTAGCCAAGTAGATTTCTTAGCTACAGAATTTAGATAACACTATATACGGCAACAACAGTTCTCTAGAATCTAGTTTGGACGTCTTAAGAGGCTGTTTAAAAGTACGGTTCGTAAACTGAAAACTGTCTTTACCAAAAATAGGTGGGTCTATGGCCTTTGTAATCATGGTATAAACCTTGTCTCCTTCAAGTTTCAGTCTTCTTTTGTATCCAACCTATAAAACATCAGATGATTAAATCAGTAAGGACCGATAATTTAAACGGAGCTTACCTAGACTTGATTTAGACCCCGGGGTTTTTTTCCGTTTTTGCTCTCCGTCCAGACGTAAACGGAGTTCGTTTTAGGCACCAAAAACGCGACGGGTTCTCAAAAACGGTCCCCATAATGTATATTCATGAAAACGCCGGCCGCCGTTTACGTGTGGACGGACGAGAAAGAGGTTCTTGAATAGGATGATATCCGTCATACATCATATTTTCTTTTTTTTATTGGCTTCTTTCCCTTTCTTTCTACTTCTGGACATTAACCTCTGCTGCGCGAGGCTCTGCGATTCAAGCATTTCTAGTATACTACTAGCAATGCGCATGTTCTGATGCTTTCGTTTTCCCATCGTTTTAGCGTTTTCATGTGGACCCCATGTGGACGGGCAAAAACGATTTAACTTTACGCGACGTGAGGACGGTTTTTTTTTTTCTGTTGAGAAAACGGAGAAGTTCAGGACAGACAGTTGAACAGTTCAACGACAAGTAACTTCCACCGTTGTTTTTGTTTTTAAGTCAGCAGTGCGTGAAAATAAGCTGACATATGCTGTAAAATGGTGTGTAATCTACATTTAGAAAACCACCCCTAATAAATACATTCAAAAAATTTACCTCGACAATGAAGTGAACTATATCTTAGCGAGACAAAAAAAAAATACGCCATCTACTTTAATTAGTGTTGAAACCGGTGAGAAATCACCACGGTGGTAGTTTCATCTTTGCTATAAATCGCTATAATCTTTAAATATAACCTTCATTTGTGTTTTGATTAGTTAAATAACTGACAAACCTTAACAGGATCCCAGCGGTATAGCTTCTTTTCTCCATCATCTAGACAGGGTCCTCGATCTTCACTGGAACAACGATCAGAACTACACGAGTTTTCTTGATTGACACTAAATTGGCCCGCGAGTCCACGTTGAAAAAGTGAAAGAAACAAAATTAAACCTTGGTAAAAGCTTTGCATGATTCTTTTCCAAGATATGTAGTTTACCTTGTTAAACCGATCAAGAATTAGACTAGTTTTTGCAGTGAAATTTACGCCTGAATTTAAAATCTTTTGACCATCGAGTAAAGCCGTTCTCGAACATCCAGTGACTGGTGAATAATTTATTGCGTACACGCAAAATTTTCGGTGGTGCTTTGTCCACAAAAAATGGAACAGAAAAAACACAACGCAGACTTAGAAAGATGTAAAGCTTTGTTATTGATAGCAGGTTGTAAACCAAACCCACGTGTTCCGGCATGTTCACAGTTTCCTATACCACAAACTGCCACACTGAATCACCACAGTCGCTGAAAAAGGCAAAGTTAGGCTATATACAGAGACTGTGGCGAATCAACTTTTCGCATGTCATACGATACTTTGTGACAGCGATCACCTAAGAACCTTCCATTTAAGGCTGGATGCTGTGATGGCTGGGGCCGTTAAGATTACTATATACGATCGCTGGCCTACTATTTCAATCTTTTTTTACCCAGCGATCGTAGCAAAGATCATTGGCTGAGCTTAGCTTGTTAACCGCGACGACTGTAGTCGCAGCAATTTTATGGTTCAATATGCGCGATTACCTAAATATTAGACAGTTGTAAGCAGGCTTTGAACGTACAAGCATGCGACAGTCAGCTGGATTCTCGGAAAATTTTCCAGTTACAGAAATTTTTTCCTAACTTCGAAACAGAGCTGTCGTGTTATTTTAATTGTCCCGCTGAGAATACAATTTTCTTCGAGACACTCGTGGTAAATATTTACACCCCCTGATTTTTGCTTGCTTTTTGGCATCGAGGAAACGCTTAATTTGGAAACTGTTAACTTTTATTGCAGGAACTTTATGCCTCAAGATAAGCTCTCGATACCTCGTCAGATTACGATTCTACCTCAGCATTCGAATCAGGCCGTTCCTAAATCAAGCTAGAGGATCGAATATTGTTTTTTTTTTGGAATACAACTTTAGGATAGTCAGCACGTTCCCCAGTCCCTATGGAACACGTTTTCTTGGGACGGTCATATGCAGACCGCGAGACTTAAAACAAATATAAGGCAGCGCAAGATAATGAGGCAAAATGCGAGACAATTTTCAAATTCACTTACTAAAATACGCTGCATGACAATGAGGCGGCTAAGCGGTTACAGAGAATGACGATCATCACACTGGTAAAACCAAAAAGTAATTTCCAATGTTTTAATTCGGGTCGGATTTTCTCCCTTCAAGCGACTGGTAATCGAACAGAGGCCGAGGGGAAAATAAGTAGGGCGAGAAAGAAGGAATGGCAGTCGAAACCAAGGCCTGAGTCTGTCTGAACCATGCATACCAAAACAATAATTGAATGACCTGCCAAGTATGATACCGCATGTGAAGAACTACATGTTTACAGATCGAGGTCCACAAGTGTATGACTTAAATAAATAAATAATTAACAATTATTCCTCGAGCCCGAATGGGCTCTGAGACAATAGCCCATGAGGCCGAAGGCCAAATGGGCTATTGACTCAGAGGCCGTGAGGGCGAGAGGAATAATTGTTTTAGTAAAATCCAACTATATTAGTTGGTCAAAAATATCGAGAATAAAAAAAAATTTAGCTAGTTTTTTGCCGCCATAAAGCCCGCGCTGTTCGCTACTAGTGGGCTATAACATATAGCCTACTAGTAGCTCAATCAATCAGAACGCAGCATTGATAATAGGCCACTAGTTGGATTTTACTAAATAAAAATATATTGTACGCTTCCAGAAAAGAAAATTTCGGAAAAGATAAGTCTGAATTTTTGGCCAATATGCACAAGGGAAAGTATTTTACCTGCGGTATGCCTGACTAATATTTGGATCGCCATTCTTTCCATAACCAGTAAAAGCAAAGTGTATTGAAAATCTTTTTTTTTTTCTTTTTGGTTTTGTTTTGTTGTTTTTTTTTTCTAGGATCGCCATAGATTTGCATAAAACTCGAAGGAGTACTAGAGTTTGAATTTTGCCATAGACCCTTATTTTCCATGTATGTTTTGAGTTTTAGATCGCACTGCCGCACAAATGTAGCTTGTTACTTTCAGATAAAAAGCTTTTAAATTGAATGTGTCACTTAAAAAAGAAAATTTAATCTTCATTCACATGACGTTCCATTAGGTTCAAATAGGCCAAGACAATCTTGGTTAAAATCTCTTAATTGGTACAAAAATATTTTCAATTCTGTGCTCGAGATAGGTATATCAAGGAGAACCTGAATTATAAATATCAATAAATGAAAGCTTAATTTACATTACTGTTGAGAACTGCGGATGAAAATTTTTGTTTTACCGTTTTGTGATATTTTTATTTTATTTTTTCTTGTTATCAGTTGGGATTAGGATAAATATTTGTTTCTAGTTACCGCTCTGTCTGCTCTGTTCTGTGGTAAAGGTCCATGTAGTTAAGGAGGCTAGTGAAGTTGTGCTGAACTTTGTGCAAGACTTTTAGATGAACTTTTGACAGCTAAATGTATTGATTTATCTTCATTAAAATCGACTGCAGTACGTATTTCAAGGACGTAATCCAATACTACTATTGTCAATTCAGTCCGGGGTCCTCTTAATAGAAGTTTTTAACAATAGAAATTAGCCAAATACAGTTTATTTTAGTGTCCGCGTCCGCTTAATAGAGGTTTCACTGTATACATGATCGATCGTACAACAGTCATAATGCGATCGCGTTTCAAGTGTAGTCGGATTCGGGTCTACAAGCGCGTTTCTGATTGTCTGGGAAAGATTGTCTCCCGAAGGATGACTGTCGCCTTCCGGAAGAGGTACGAGTAGCCTGTTCCAGGCGTTCAGATAGTAGAGCGCGGGAGAAAAAGTCACGAAGAAAAAAAACGTGGGGAGACTAGAGGGGGAAGGGGGCTCTCGAACCCCCCCCCCCCCCCCCCCCCCCCCCCCCCCCCCCCCCACCCCCACCACCCACCCCCCCCCCCCCCCCCCCCCCCCCCCCCCCCCCCCCCTTCCACTACCCCCAGCACCCCCCCCCTGCGTCACCAACGAACAACAAACACAGAACCCCACACAAAGAGGATGAGGATGCGTAGCGGGGTAGAAACATCACAAGACACTTGTTTGTTCTTTATTATGTAAGTTTCGGGTCGTCCGCGGGGTTTCGGGTTGGTGCGGAGAGATTGGTCCCTGAGGGGGGGAGGGCCCCTTCTGGAGAGGGAAGGAGTGCCCTTTGCAAGGGGTTTGAAAGGGGAGGCGGGGGGGAAAAAGCCAGAAAAAAAAAAAACCGGGGGGGAAAAGGGGGGGAGGGGGGCCCCCCAACCCCCCCCCCCCCCCCCCCCCGTTTTCCCGGCGTACAACTTAACTAACTTAACTCGCTCCCCACTTACCGCCGCGCTCTACTATCTGAAAGCCTGGAACAGGCTACTTAGGTACGAGATACCGAAGAGCAAAGGACACGATTATCAGTGAAACGTGGTTCGGACGTTGTTTGGTGAACTAATCACAAGTCTTTAGATTGCTTCTTAAATAGCCTAACGAATTTGCATTACGCATTACAATACCCATCTGATCACCTATTACTCTTATTTTCGGAGCATATGAACAGGAATCTTTATTCAATAAACTTAAAAAGATAGAAAGAACCGAGACCTCGCATGTGTTGAAGTTAAGTAGATCATTCCCTGATTCAAAATTTTCACGCTCGGCTATATTGATGTTTTCACCAAGGATTTTTACCTCATTCATTTTGTTGAAAGTCCGACCAATATCTTTGTTGGATCCTCATTTGGACCACGTGACCTCCTTAAATAAGCACAGAACCGGACGTCCAATCAAACGCAACAAACAAGAGTATAAAGCACCATTAATATGCTAATGAGTACATTTTGAAAGTTGAAACTGGAACTCTGACAACAACAGGTGATCGAGAAGTACATCTTCCATGGTTTTTCGAAGAGTGTCAATCTGCCGCAGAACGGTGGTGACACTAACTCTATCGTCCTTCCTTTTTGGATTGATTATTCGTTTTCACAGCTTAACAACTAATTGTGGATTTGAGTAAGTATTACTTTTTGCTGCACTGAGCGTTACCCTCGTCAAAAACACAATGATATCCCTCTTAAATCAATTAATCAGCTGTTGTTTGGCAAAAACATGTGGCGTGCGTAAAATTCATACCACCTCGATTTCGCCTTTTACCTCATAACCAAATTTACTACGTGTTATTTCAGTCTTGTAGCCAGCTTTAATTACTCAATATACAAATATGACTGCACCACAATTTGTGTTTCGGAACATCTTATATTTCATTCATTTAGAGAACTTCAATTGTGGACAGCGAGTTATTGACATAACTCTGAAAAGTTACTAGCATGATTTAGCTGTTGAAAACGAGCCAGATTGTTACTAAACGGCCATCTTTTTAATCAATCTCGGGAAAAATGGAAATTTCAAGAAAATACGCGTTTTAGTTTCGTTTGAAAATTGTGTGACATTCATTAAGGGCGGATATATTTCATTATCTTAAGCGTTAATGTTAAAACCATTTTCTTACTTCCTCTCGTGTCAAAGAATTGATAAATTTGGACAGTTCTAATGAATATTTTAAAGTCAATTCTCTTTTTTTTTTTCGCTTTTACAAAATTTACTATTAATGTTGATTCAAACACCCACTGTTTTCTAAAATAGATGACGAAGGACCAAAATATTTTCGATTTATATTGCGACTGATGTTGCCAGTTAGCCAATACTTTATCTTTAGGGAGCCACGCGTCTCATGTCGCTAAACGCGAAATACAAATCGGACATGATTAGTACAACTTTTTGAAAGGCTTTACAGACCGACCCGCATCTTTAACCTGAACTTAAATGACAAAAAAAAGCGACAGAGAGATGAAACATTTTATCACTGTTTCTGTTAAAAAACGGCATACCCCTGCCGAGGGAAGTTCTGGGGGGCATTTCAAATATACGAATCCGATGATTAGAAGATTTGTCCTCTGTTTTTTTCCACGTCAAATTATTTCATCCAAATTTAGCAAATATTCGACATATATATTTTAGTTCAAGTAGTAGATACATTTTTTATGAAGTGCCCATCGAGAGTACTTGAATATGTGAGTAGAAACTTCCACTCAAATACTGATTATACTTACTTGTTTTTCAAGGTAAGGGGTCAGTGAGAGCTGTGTCTAAGATTTCAATAGTCCATCAGTTAGGTCTACTGTAGTAAAAATTTCATTTCATGGAACGAATTTTCATCAAAAGTGTTGACAGATAGCTCGATCCCACGGTCTTCACAACAATTCTACGATCTGCAATTTATCGAAGGGAGATTTTAGAGCACGGACTCCCTGTTACAGAAAGGAGAATTGCTTGTGTTAGTCTCGTGGTACAGTTAATTAATAATTTCATTCGAATGTTTAAAATACGTTGTTTGCGATGTCCAAAACGAAACAAAATAAATAATTATTTTCAAGTGACTTTTCCACGGTTGGCAGTGCTAGTTCTACACACAGAGAAGAATATTAAAGGCAAGATTTGCTAGAAACAGAGAGAGAAAGAGAAGAAGTCATTACGTCATGTTGCCATGGTCGCAAAATTTCCGGATCTCAACAATCCGTGGTCTTGCAAATATGACCGAAAAAAAGGAAGAACTGAATTTCCTGTGCACGATTGCACTAAAGAACAAAGCGGTAGCCCTTACGTTTGAGATCCAGAAATTTTGCTTCGATGTAACGTGAGGTCAAATTTCTCTTCTCCATACTCGCCCTACATATATTGAAGAATATTCAGACTATTACTAAAATAAGGCAAGATTTGCTAAATTTGTGTAGGATAATACTGGCTTCAATCTCACCAACAGAAAAACAGACTCGACTTCAGTAAATAGTTTTTCTTACAACTAGTCGTAACCTATTTGAACGTCTTCGCTAGAAGAATTCTCAGTTTAGGTTCAGGAGCCGGATTTACGACGCACCAATATATTTAATTCCATTGTTTAAGGCAAATTGGTAAAAGATTATCAAATGTATACACTGTCATCATCACAACATTTGACACAAGCTATCAAAAAATTTGAATAATTACTTAACTCAAAAATTAAACTGCATAAAGTTATTGATAAAAAAAATTTACAAGGAGGAAATGTTCAAAAAGCACGATAACCTATAGGCAAATTTCAAACCTGCTTTAAAGCCTAAAATATGTGTTTTTCTAGCCTAGTTAGTTGCTGTCATTTGTTTACAGGTCTCAGTAAACAATAATGCTTATCAGCCGAAAATATCAAAGCAAAATACAGTATAATGATAATACAAAAATAACATACTTCTAATTTGCACGCAGGCCCACGGAAAATAACACACTAAATTAGCCTGCCACGGCTAAAAGAAGTGCAAATATAGTGTGACATGTCACAAACAATCAAATCAAATGTATTTAAAAAAGGTTCTTTGGGATAAAATAGAATTAGTGAACAAGGATTTACAATGGCTTACAAAGAAGCGATACAAAATATAGAGGAAAAGGAAAAAATCTACTGACATATCTTTGAATTGTTCAACCAACAGGACAGAAGAGTGCGGCAAAGATGTGCCTTTCTAGTAAGTATGGAACAAAACTATTGTTGTTTAGATAACTGGAATTTATATTTTCTTTCCCTAACACTACGGAATAACACTAAACTCGACAGAAAAGGATTTTCTTATGACGCCCATTGCACGAAGGAAAGAGAAAATGATCACGTAACGACGGTATCCAAACATTGTTTCAAGTCTGATATCGGAAAACGATTTAAATGCTGTTTTCTGACACTTAAAAAATGATAAAAATGGAACAAAATGAAAGGAAATAAAACAGGTATTTTTACACCCTTGCAAATATCCCTTAGAATGAAAGTCCATTTTTTGCGTCTGCGCAAACGGCAAAAGACAAGCATGAAGTGAGTTGAACCCCCAACAACGGCATGCACAATGCAAGGGGGTACAGGATGGCCAAACTATATTTTTTACTGGTGGGAACAGTTTTATGGAAAACAAAATCAAATGAATAAATCAAATTAAAGATAAAAACATCAAAATACTATTTTTTCTGCTTAAACTTGTTTTAAAGTTTTTAAAAAATTGAAGTTCAACATTGTTCTCACTGTTTTTCCCTGTGTCTATTTTAGTAAATCTACCAATGGAGACAGGGCGGCGTCGTGCAAGCCGGTGAATAAAATTTTATTTTTGAAGACACACAAAACCGGTTCAAGCACACTGACTAATATCCTAAATCGCTACGGAGATAACAGAGATCTTCTGTTCGCTCTTCCTGTGCAAGAGAAAGCCTACCACTTCTTCTGGCCTCGATCATTCAAGCTTCGTTATACTACGGTGTTTGGCAACGCACCAAATATCCTATGTAATCACGCAAGGTATAACAAGGCCCCCATGAACTGGCTATTCCCAAAGGAAACAACTCGGTACATAACGATGTTGAGAGAACCATCAGCACATTTTGAATCTATATTCAATTTTTTCCGACTCGGTAAACGTTTCAAAGAAATACGAATGCTTAAGACTCCACTGGCCAGTTTTCTACAGAAAGCAGCATTTTACTTCGACCAAGTGAAGCACAACTTATCTGGTGCGTTAAACCTGATAAAAAATCCTTCATTGTTTGAGCTGGGACTTGACCCAGTGTATCACGAAAACTCTACCGTGGTAGAAAACTACATCCGTTTTCTGCAGAAAGAGTTTGATCTTGTAATGCTGATGGAGTACTTCGATGAGTCGTTAGTCCTCTTAAAACGACGTCTCTGTTGGAAAATGGAGGACATTCTCTACTTTAAGCTCAATGAAAGGGTGCAGAAGGAAAAGCAAAATGTTCCAGCCTGGGCTAGGGAGGAAATAAAGAAGTGGAACTCAGGAGATGTGTTATTATATGATGCATTTAACAAAACGCTTTGGGGAAAGATAAAGGAAGAAGGACCAGAATTTTACAACGACCTCGCACTTTTTAGAAAAGCAAAACAGGCCATGGAAGAAGCCTGCCTAAGAAAGGGAAAATTTTTGACGAAACCTTATACTGGAAGATTTGTCCAAGGTTACGCTGTAAAAACCGATATTTCAAAAGAGCTGAATGAAACTTGCAATAGAATGATCACGAATGAAATACCTTTCTTAGAACATCACCGTAACAAACTGATTAAGTTCTATCAAAACATTGACAACACTGTACATTCAATCAAATGACCTCTTGAACGGCCTTTAACGCAAGACGAGTAAATTTCACCACCAAGAACCTCGTTTGTGAAGTCTTTTCTTTGCACTTGCACTCTTTGTGCGTGGGTATTCTTCTTACCTTTACTGCCTTGGGAATTCATTTATTTAAAACTTCGCTCATTTTTATTTTCAAAACGAGGATTGGTGGTGAAATTTGCTCGTGTGCCGTAAACTTGCATATTAAGGACTATTGGTACATGGGGTGTAAACATGCAGTCGCTTTTTTTGGACAAAGCGTGTGTAATTTTTGTATAGATAGATAGGGATACTGTTGAGTCTCATGCAATCAAAAAGGAACGCTAACACACGATAAATATAGGCGTCAAGTTGCTTTTTGTTGTTCTTTTGGCCTAGGAAGGAAAACTAGAGTGGGGGCCCCTCAAATTCATTTAATTTCACATACACTGCATTGAGCAATGTGTAAAACTGGTTCTATATAAACACCTCTTCTACAAAATTCTGGAAGACTTTTAAAAAATTAAAATTTTTCATATATATATATATATATATATATATATATATATATGTAAATTGAAGAAAGTATAATACAACACAATTTTTTTAACCTTCAGCAAGTGTGTTAATTTATTAGTGATTAACGAATTGACAACTACGTAGACAGTAGCGTGAAATCAACTCTAATCGTTTGGTTTGCTATTTGCTATGAAGCACAAGCCTGTTACCACCAAGAGAATAATGAGAAAGAGGGAATCTTAGGGCATTGGCCGGAATATGTGAATTTCACTTAATAAGTTGCCATTAGAGGTTGTAATTAAACGGAAGTCTAATTCTTGGGACGTCCGCAAATTTCATTGATTGTTTGAAACATCATCAAGATCACGCGCGACTACCCCAAAGCAAAAAAAAGCAGAATATATTGTAATGGCGACTGTTGAATTCTCTCTTGACAACACTGAATAAAAGTTTGGGGTCCTCTCGGGCAACCAACTCCTGATTAATTTCAAGCGTTTAATTGGTCGAAAATCCCAAGGGCTAGACTGAGCGCTTCTCTCTGTCCATTATTCTCTCTTGATACTTAGTTACAGATCTCTGTGGTAGTTGACCTGACCCTACAAGGTATGCGCGAGAGTTTGTTGCTAGAGCAAAGCCACAGCTTACGCAGGATATAATGGATGTTCGTAATAGAGAAGAGGTGTGGATGAAGGAGAGATTCTTCAATTCCTTAACCGATCAATCAAGCTACAGCAGTTATTAATTAGGTTAATTGTGTTGCAATTGCCAAGTACAATGAACAGCTCGATCGTCCTTTATACAACTCAGTGGAAGGGACAAAGACTGAAGTAACATTGCAGAATAAGAATGTCATTTTGACGTTACCTCAAACCTTAGTTGCTTGCCTACAACTTGCAGTTACCTTTCAGTTGTTCGAAAGAGAGCAAACAGAAGTTAGCAAACTACCAAAGGAAACGATGTGAAAAGGACCGCCATTTTATTACATTTCTTGCTGGCCACCATTTTGATGATTTTGTGATTCCGTCCCGGTTTAGTTCTTTTGTTTCTCTCTATTAGCAAAGTTACTCTGTCATTATCGGGAGCGATAAGAACAGCTATTGGTTTCGATGAGCAGAATAAATTGTTTATCCTAGACTTGCCTATTTCCGATCGTTCTGGTTTCAATTTCTCATCTCAGCCCTCCAACCCCTCCCCCCAGACCCACAACACAAGAAATATTCTGGGAAGAAATAAGAGACAATACAAGGATGCATCGTAGACTGCAGATATCTTTTGGAATGAACGTTTTAGGATAAAGCGTCCGTAAACTATTTGCTTAGCGATCTACAAATCTTAACTTGAGCTCCTTGTCAGGCGTCAACAGGGAAGTAACCACTGGAATTGCTTCATTCAGTGACTCAAGCCAGAAGTTTTGCGACACCTGAAACAGAAATGATATGTAGATTTACCCGCGCGTGTTTCTCGCGGTTTCTTTTATATGAGAGGGTACCGTAGGGTTGCCCAAAGAGGAGGTTTACCTGCTCACTCGTTAGATTATCCCCTCGAGGAGCACTTTCCCGATTAGATGTTGTTCTATTCAATTACGCGGGATGAGATTACAGATAAAACCGCGACAAGAAAAAAACAACAACAACAACAGCAGCAACAAAACATTAATTCAACGGCCCGATTTGTCAGAATTTGGGTCGTCTATTTCCGTTAAAATTCCTTGACAAACTGCGCGAACTTAGGCGGTCAATAACAAATTTCGCCAACACCACCTGAAATTCCTTGTAAGTCCAAAAAGCGCGCTAGGCTATACACCCACTTACTGTGGAAAGAGCTATTTGCTATCGAGGCCCATTTACACGCAGTTGACAACTTTAGTGCAACTGAGCGTGGATTCAAGGGATACGGATGACTGAATGCATACCTGTGATAGAAGAAGATGCATCTCCAATTTAGCCACACGGCGTCCTGTGCAATAAAAATAACAACAACAAAACATAAAAAAAAACACTGCAAATGTCTAGGAAATAGGTTTTAAGCTTAATGTCTACCGGAAAGGTATCCATAAAAAAGCTACTAAGCGATTGTTTCTGCTGCGGACCCTCAAGAGAGTTGGACTGGGCACTAACGATCTCGTGTTAGTCTACTGTAGTATTGTTAGATCCATTGTTGAGTACGCCTTGCCAGTTTGGGCTGCGATCCCTTTATATCTGGACGAGTTAATTGAGCCTGTACGGCGGAAAGCTCTCAAAATAATATTTGGTCGGGTAGACTATACGGAAGCCTTGGTCTTGGCCGGCCTGGAGTCTCTTGGTGACAGGAGAGTAGGATCTTGTTAGCAGTTTATGGCTACTGCACGCCAAATGTCTCCCCTTAAGAACATCATCCCCTCTCCTGCCGCCATTGAGTCTCATTACAGAATAAGGGTTCAACTTCCAAGACATCAACATGGTCATACCAGAAGAATTAATGACTTTGTAACTTACAAATTTCAGTGAATGTATGTAAATGGTTAATTGTATGCGTTCCACTGGGTTCGGATCCGGATCAGGATCAGTGATACAAGATCTCTTGGATCATTGGACATCAAAGGAACCGACGAATCCATCCTGGGAAAGGATTCATTGGTTCATCTGATGTACCCGCTATCAGTAACGGTAGAGATGACATGAATGCGTATAATGCCGAATGAGTTTACTTTTCGTCTCACATAATTAGTTAGGTCCTGGTTATTATCAAACACATTTTCATGGGACTAAATCTAATCGGACTAATTCAGGCAGGTTAAACTCAAGACAACCCTGGTTATTGGCCTTCTAAATTGTCGTGGGGTGGTTTTTCTCAAGGACTCAGTAAATTTACAGCTCTTCTGTTAAGATCAAGCCTTAACGGTTGCATTGCTTTTCGGGAAAGTGGGGTTTGCGTTTTGCTCACTTCCTTGCGACTGAGAATTCAGGGTGACGGTGTCTGGTGCCTGCTGCTCACAAGTTGTCATGATTACCTTCCGAGCTCTCCAATTGACTCTCACAGGAGCTTTCAGGTAAATTTCAGTGTACAAAAGTGCACTTACCAATGCACATTCTGGTACCAAATCCAAAGGGGAGAAAAGCAAACGCGTGGTAAGGGGACTTGTGTGTATCGTCCCTTAGCCATCGCTCGGGTTTGTACTCCAGCGGGTCCTCAAACAACTCTGGGTTACGACCCATGAAGTACTGAGGGATACGAATCATTGTCTGGAGAAGCGAAAATACATCACCAGTTACATGGAAGGACGGTACTTTTAAGACAGTGCTAATCAATACATTACAAGGTCCTAGATGGGTTACCGGTTACTAAGGTAATGAGTTCATGCGCAGATACTGATGAGGGGCGATGAAGCCACATGAAAGAAAGAAATGATTAAACCCAATTAAGTGCTACTCAGAATGCGTCTTAGATGAAAAGTTGCATGCACTGTTGCCCACTTAATGAATAAGAATTGCCTCCTCCTCCGTAGAAACACGATTACAACATCAACAAACAAAGCTTTACTGCAGGGGTCAATTCTATGAAACTTCTACAAGCTTAATTTAAATGTGGTAGCTACTGTTTTTCAAACTCAAGCACAATAGCTACTCTTTAAAATTACTAGAGTAAAACGTTCATTCAGTTGACCCACGATGTAACGATAAAACTCCGCACGTACATTGTAAAAGCACCCTAGGCGTGTCGGGTTCAGGGCTCAAAAAAAGTCCCATCCGGTAGTCCGGGACAAGTAGATTTTCTTGCCGGGCAAGTAACTTTTAAAGTCAAGTCATCCTCTAATAAAACCATTACCTAAGAAGTGACCCCGCGCAAGCAAATCGCGAGAGCGCCTTGCCCAAAGGAAAAGCTGGGATTCATGTTTTTTCGTTGTTGTTGTTGTTTTTATTCTGTTTTTGTTTCATGAACGTAACCCTGCAGGTAGTTTTTTGACAGACTTACGTTAGGAGGAATGCGATAGCCTTGAATGACTATTTCTTCGGAAAGAGATCGAAAACTTTCATAGGCGACTGGATACAACCTACAGAAGAAAACCGAGACTATATTAATACCATAAAAATAATTGAATTCTTAGTCGCTAAGTAATAGAACTCACCATGCATCAAGCAATAACGCCCAGAGTGAGAGTACGCAAAAAAATGAATTAACTAATTAAGTAAAAAGGGGGGAGAATAAGAAGAACAAAAGGGAAAAAAAAAACGGTTACGTTCCGGGCCTCAAGTATGTCCGTTAGGGTGTAGAAATACAAGGTATGTAGGTAGGGTATGGTAGAAGGCAACCTGTGTACATGTACATGTAAGCTAATGTACATGGAGGTGCACATTTATTTGTTTACATCCATGCTTTATATTCTAAGAAGCTTTGAGGTCATACATACCTTAGAGTCTCTTTGATACACCCCTTTAGAAAACGCATTTTCTTTATGGTGGAAGCTGTCGCACGCTCTCCTGGTTTAAGAACTGAAGTAACTTCCTCATGCAGTCGTT